CATAATATTCAAAATGTTTAGGATATGATCTGAAATTACTTGGTATACAAAGAGCCAGAAAAATTTTAAATGGCATGGCAAATGACAATCAACAGATGCCAACATGGAGATGACAAAGGTGTTGGAATTACCTCACAAAGACTAAAGCAACTATCATGAAAATGCTTCAGGAAGTATGTACGAGTGCTTTAGGAAAAAAAAAAAAAAAATGGAAAGAGCAAGTCTCAGCAAAGAGAAAAGGCGAGCCAAGTGGACATTTTAGAATGGCAGAATATAATATGCATCATAAAAACTTACTGGATAGGCTAAATAGAATGGAGATGATAGAGGAAAGGATCAGTACAGCTGAAGATAGATCAATAGAAATGATCCATGTTGAATAGCACAGAAGAAAGATTAAAATAAATTAAAAAAACAGCTCAGGGTCTGTGAAGTAATACCAAAAGGTCCAATACGTCATTAGAATGCAGAAAGAGACGAGAAAGAGGTGGTGCAGAAAAGTATGAAGACATACTGGCCGGAAACTTCCCCAATTTTCCAAAACACAAAAAGCCACAGAAGCAGCTCAGAAAGCCAAAAATAAGTTCAATACAAAGAAATTCACTATATGACCTCTCATAATTAAATTGCTAAACAAAAAAGTAAATCAAAGAAAAAAAATCTTAAAAAAGGTCAGAGCAAAATGATATATTGTCTATAAGGAAGCAACAATTCGAATTACAGCAATTTTCTTATCAGAAACCATGGAGGTCAGAAGGATGTAGCATAATATTTTTCAAATACTAAAAGGAAATGATTGTCAAACCAGAATTCTGTATCCAGCAAATTATACTTCAGAATGAAAGTCAAATAAAGACATTCTCACAGTAAGGAAACTTAAGAGAAGTTATTGCCAAAAAACTCCCTCTAGAAGAATAACTAAAGGAAGTTCTTCACCTAGAAGGAAAATTGTATCAGAAGGGAACTGGGAACATCAGGAACAAAGGAAGAAAAAGAAACAGTAAAAATCTTAGTAAATATAAGACTATTCTCCTGGATTGTTCAAAATGTTTTATGGTTGAAAGCAAAAATAATAATATTGTCTAATAATAATATTATTATTACAAAATAATAATATTTTGTATGTAGATAAAATACACATAACAACAATATTGGAGGGGTAGTAAAGAGACTTATATAGTGGTAATATTTCCACATTTCAGTTTAAGTGGTAAAATGTCGATTCTAAGTAGACTCTGAAAAGTTAAGTATGAACAATGTGATCCCTAAAAAAGCCACTAAAAAAATATGTATGTATAGTAAAAAACACAAAAGATAAGTCAGAATAATAAAAGATGTTAAAATAATCCAAAGGAAGGGAGCAAAGAGAAAACAGAAGAGGGAGAAACAGAGATTAAAAAGTAGAAAATAATAAAATAGGAGAAAGGCTGATAGTTGAACCAACCCAGTGGCTTTGCAGAGGAAATATCTGGCAACCTGCTTCTGTAAATATTTCAGCCAATAAAATCCTATAGGGCAATTCAACTCTATTACTTGGGGTTGCTATCCAGTGAAAAAGACTTGATGGCACCATCACCACCACCAGACCTAAATCCAAATGTATCTGTAATTGATTTAGATAACAAACATTTTAAACACATCAATTGTCAGAATGGATAAAAATCCTGTTTCTGAATTTTCTGTTCTCTTGTCTACAAGAAAATCACTTCAAATACACTGATACAATGAGAAAATATGTATTATGAAAAAATACAAATCAGAAAAATCCTTGAACTTTATTATTTATGGTCAATTGATTTCAGCAACAACAACAACAACACCCTCAAACTCACTGCAGTTGAGGGGCTAGACAATTCAATGGGAAAAGAATAATCTTTTCAACAAATGGTATTGAGAAAACTGAATAGAGACATACAAAGAAATGAATTTGGATCCCTATTTCACAACATACACAAAAATTAACTAAAAGTAGATCGTAGACCTAAATATAAGAGCTATACTATCAAATGTTTAAAGGAAAATACAGAAGAAAAATCTTTATGATCTTGGGTACAGTGTTTCTCCAGCACGGCACTATTGACATTTTGGGCTGCTTAAGTATTTTTTTTGTGGGGGGCTGTCCTGTGCATGGTAGGATGTTTAACAGCATCTGTGGCCTCTACTTACCTCATTTAGGGAAGCAACATGTCCTACATACAACCAAATCTCCTTCCAAAAAAAATCTCAAATCATTCTTATACAGTTTCTTTGATACAAACTTCCTCCAATTGTTCTTAAAAACTTACTATGATATTTAATAATTAATTTGAATGTGCTGCTGTTTCTCTTTTCCACCTTTTTCTTTTAATAAAACAAATCATTGCTGTTATCTTTAGAGTAGATAAAGATGTATATGTATGTGTGTGTTTGTGTGTACATAGCAGGGGAACTGAAAGTCTATTGTCCCTATTTTAGATAAATATATTACTGGCATTCAAATTCAAAATAATCCCAAACCATGTACTAGGTATGTTATGTATGATGGGTTTGACTTAAAATATGGTCATAGAACAAAAGCTTTTGCACATATTGTAAGCATATGGAGGCCTAATTGTAAATATTTTTCATCAATCTAAAGTTTTTGGCATAATATATAGGCCCCTCTACTAATGGCTGTCTTCCAAACTTATGGTTTGTTTTATAGATCAGAAAACTGTAAGGAGACAGAGCTTGCCAAGGACCTTTAGGGAGATACAGAGGACTGGAACTTCATGTTCCCTCCCCTAACCCAAACATGAATGTGCCCATGAATTCATGAAAATGAAGATTCTTATTCAGTAGGTTTGGAGTGGACCCTGAAAATTTGCATTTCTAGCAAGCTCCCAAGGAGCTCTGGTGATGCTGTGTTTAAAGCAAAAGGTCAGTGGTTCAAATCCATCTGCCGCTCCGCAGGAGAAAGATGAGGCAGAATTACAGCCTTGGAAATCGTATGGCACGATTCTACTGTGTCCTATAGGGTTGCTAGGAGTCAGAATCGATTCGATGGCAGAGGGTTTTAGCAAGTTCCCAGGTGATTCCAACACTGTTGGTCCACAGACCACACTATGAGTAGCAAGATTATAGATCATACAGTTTCTTATTTAGATTTGTTATGGTCTATTCTGAATGCTATAAAATCCTGCCTCCTTCTAGCCACCAGAGGATAGGTGAGTTGCAGGATTACCAACACTGCTTATTAAACAGAGAAAGCCTCTTCTTCCATCCTCTGGTTTCTATGAGGATGGATTTTTCTAAAGAATTCCAGCATTGTGTGCCTACTCATACTACTTAATTGATGACAGCCATTGTTTCACTTTTCTAAATTGAGAAAAGCAGTTGGTGTCGAGTTAACTCTGACTCATGGCGACCCCATGTGCGTTAGAGTAGAACTGTCCTCCACAGAGTTTTTAATGGCTGATTTTTGGAAGTTAATCATGAGGCCTCTCTTTCAAGGTGCCTCTAGGTGGGCTCAAATCCGCAACCTCTTGTTCAGCAGTCAAATGTATTAACTGTTTGCACCGTCCAGACACTCTCAATTAAGAGAAGATAAAAAGTCCTAAGTTTATGTGTGTATGTGTTTTGTGGGAATGGGGATGGTCTCTATTTCTGTCTGCCTGTCTCTCTCTCTCTCTTAACTCCCCTGTACTACAGTATAGGAAGCCCTGGTGGTGCAGTGGTCAAGTACTTGGCTGCTAACCAAAAGGTGGATGGTTCAAACTCAAGCTGCTCTGAGGGAGAAAGATGTGGCAGCCCACTTTCATCAAGATTCCTGTAGCCATTGATTCCAACTCCTAGAGACCCTATAGGACAGACTGGAACTGGCCCACGAAGTTTCCAAGACTATCTTTACAGAAACAGACTGCTACATCTTTCTCCCATGGAATGGCTGGTGGATTTTAACTACTGATCTTTCAATTGGCAGTTGAGCACTTACTTAGTTATTGCACCACCAGGTCACCTCCTAAAAGATTACAGCCCTGGAAACCCTATGGTGCAGTTTTACTCTGTCTTACAGGGTTGCTATGAGTCTCAATCAGGCAATGGGTTTGGTTTTTTTGGTTGTGAGTCAGAATAGACTTGAAGGCAAGAGGTTTGATTTTTGGTTTTGCACTGGAGTATGAGCCAGCAGCTTGGAAAGTGTGCACGCTGTCCAAACTCACTCTGGTCCTTCAGTGAGCTGTTCCAAGTTCTAAACTGAAAGAAGTTAGATAGCACACTAACCTTTATCAGTAATAACAGTAATAAGTTGATTTCTCATTTGCCTGACTTCTCAAATGAATCAGAACTTGAGGTGGGGGAGGAGGAGTGTTATTTATTGAATCCCTTCAAACCCCAGCACTTCCTAGACAACTAGCTAAGTGAGTAATGACAGGTTTGAAAAGGTCATAAATCTAGACTGTATGCCCTGCCCCTGTCCCCTGAACACCCCAGGATGCTTCCCAGCAAAACTGTCTGATTTGAGGCCATATCTGGTGGCGTAGCACCTAAGGCATTTGACTGCTAACCAAAAGGCTGTGGTTCAAACCCACCAGCCATTCCTCGGAAGGAAGGTTGGGCAATCTACTTCCATAGTGATGTTGCGTCGGAAACGCAAGGAGGGATTGCTATGAGTTGGATCCGACTCAATGGCAGTGAATTTGTTTTTTTTTGTTTTTTTCCTATCTTAAAGTGAGCCTGAAGCCCAGGCATTAATCTGATTCTTTCACCAACTCTCTCAAAACTTTCTCATTTGTGCATTCTCACCAATAAATGCAGAAAACAGAAAAATGTCATTTCTGCCTCTTTTTCCCCTTTGATAGATCTCTTGCTGGACAAATTGAGTTGAGTTTATTATCTCTGCCAAGAGGAATGACCCTCAAATTCTTACTGTTCCCATTCTACTTTTCCTAGGTCTATCTTCTCATCCATAAAGGCAAAAGAACTTAGAATCCTAATTAACTCTTAACAAAGCATTCCAAATTCCTCTGACTTTTCACCCTTACCTTCTCCTGGATGCCTTCATCATCACCAGCAAAGTACAAAATAGGGACATTGAGCTCAGAGGCTGCTACCCATTGAAGAACAGCTTGGAGTTGCTTATTCTGAACAGTATCAGTTAGATTCTGGTTGCTGACAATCACTTTCGCGGATGCACATCCTTCAGGGGGCCGTCCTGATATACCTCTCAGTTCGTTCTGGATGGCGTGATAGGCATTCTGCAGGAGAGTCTCTGCGGTCCCTGTGCCCTTGACTGGCAAACACTCATATAAATTGTCTGGGGAGGCTGAAATTGGTCTGCTTGCATCCCCAGACTTATCATCTCCCAGCTCTGCCAAGGGAGAGTCACAGGACTTGGCAATAATGAGACACAACTTCATCACTGAATCCATCAAATGTTCTACCATCTGCCCATTCATGTGGCCATCCAGCTGGTTGGCAACCATCTTGGTCAGCCCAGCTAAGATACCCCCAGTCTCCTCCCCATCACATACTTTGGTGGGAGAAGGGGTCACAGGTCTTTCACACAGGTTGCTATCTTCCTTAGTTGGATGTTTTGGAAGCTTGGGTTCAGAGCTATGATCACTCTTGAAAATGGTCTCACTAAGTAAATTCCGGATGAAGTTGAAGAAAATGCTCATTAAATCCTTCTTTTCTGCTTCTTCTTTATCACCTCCCATAAAATGAGGAAACTTAAGGGTAGACTCATCAGAAACTTCAGGGGACTTGGTGGCAGGCAAGTTGGTGCTGCCAGCAGCTTCAAGGAAGCTCTGTGCATCCATTCTTCCTCCCTGAGCGAGATGGTATTGGATCAGAAGTAGGGCAGATACAATCAAGTCCTTGGCCCAGGAGTCTGAATCATACATAAAATTCTCAGGTTTCTCTGGGTGATGCATGGGGGGACTGTGGCAAGTCTCCTGAGTGTATTCAACAGAAATGTCTGGTTCAGGTTTATCCTGTTTGTTGGAAAATGCAAATGTGGCACGCTGGAAACCTGGAGATTTACAGTCTTTCTGTTGACTTTTATGCCACAAGGTCAGTCCTTCTTTGATAAGGTGTTCACCCAGAGTTTCAGCACAAGACTTCTCAGGTTTAATTTCAGGGGAGTACAATTTTTCTCTGAGTTTAGCCTCAGATTTCATTGTTGTAAAGTTTACATTTTGGTGTTTAGGATCACCCATTCCCTTCGTGGAGACAAGAGAATAACTCTCAGCCTTGGATTTCCTGACATTCTCAGGGGCTTTCTTGGCAAACATCACAGTGTATAGCTTGCTCAACATGGCATCCATGATATCTGTGGCCTTCTGGCTTCCATGGGAGAAGAGACTTCTTTTCACTGCTGAGACAAAATCTGTATCAGTCATGAGGGTCCCTGTGACATTGTGGAGGTTCCTCATGAAGGAGTCAATGAGATCTGAGACCACTTCTTTTGCATGTCTGATCAGTACTTTCTTCAGCAAGATAGTGGCAATGGTTGTGTCCTTCACTTGGATCCTCAGAGTCTTCATAATAGAAACCATCATATCAGACACCACACTATTAGCATAAGTCATGATCCCTTGACTAATGGAAGCTGTGAAGTCATCAGGCCTTTCTGGTCCTCTAAACATCCTTCTCTCTGCAGGTAAAGACCTTCCAGAGTCTTTGGCATCACCTGCATTATGAGATTCAAACACTTCCTTGTAGAAGAAAGACTTCTTAGAAGCAGACTTCTCATCTGGATTCTTGCTTTCCTTGGTGTTCTCCTTGAATTTCAAAGTGCTCTTGTATTTCATATTTGACGGACTTTGTGATGAGTCTAAAACTCTGTCTCCAGAGCCAGGAGCTTTGTCTGAAACAGCATTATTGGAACATACAGTAACAGTCCGGTTTACCAGATCTGATGCCATCTTACTCAAACTTTTGTTGGATGTGGGTTCATCACCCATGTACAGTGATTGATGGACACATTTGTTTTCAGAGCCATCAATCTTCTCATTGATCTCCTTGCGGGCCATAGCTATGACTAGATTCGTTAGGCGGTTAGCATAGAAGGACACTTCATCTACTGACTTCTCATTACCAGTGGAGCCTTGGGGAGGGGTCTCTTTATGAGTGATCTCAAAATGCATTCTCCCTGGACAGCCCTTGTTAGTGGTGTTGTAATAGTCCACAGAGAAACCTTTGTGTGGGTTTCCTGAGGTGGTCATTTCCCCACCAAATGATGATTCTCCAGGCTTGAACTTAGCATCTTGGAACTCTGCTGTACTTTTTTCCAGGTCTCTGCGGAGCCAGCTGAGCACTCTGATGGGATCAGTTGGAGCTTCCTTAAAAACAGACAAGGATTCATCCGACTATAACAAAGTAGAGATACGTGGTATTCAGAACAACCTCAAAGATCAGTTATAAAAAAAATTTCACCCCTCTTAGGCCTTAATTGCTTCATCATCATAATAAAATAACCAACTTTATTGAGTGGTTGCCATGGATCAGGCACTGTTCCACCTATTTTAAGACTAGCAGCTAGTCATCCTCATTTTACACAGGAGGAAACTGAAGAATAGAGAAGTTAAGTAACCTAATTATCTAATCATTGACTGAGCAGGGATTCCAACCCAGGCAGTCTGACTCCAGAGCCCATACTGTTGGTCACAACACTACATTTTGTCCAACAACCTATACACTTAAGATGTGACAGTCATCAGCTACATAGAAGAGTTGGCATTTGACCTGAATCAGTAGGTTTTTCCTGTATTGATATTGCTATTTCCTATGGCTTACCTGTTTTTGTTTAGGTCTCTTTTTATACGTATAGTTTTAGGAAAATTAGAGAATTCAAAGACAAATAGGCATTGTTGATCACTTAGCCAGACTACAACTAGAACAGTCTTGCTATGTTAATGGCTTCCAATGGACTATTTGACATCACTTAAGTTAATAATCTGATCTAGAAGTGAGGAGTTAATATTTATGCATAATTTATTAGATTTGTATTAATATAGATAGCTTAATGGACACTAGCAGGGGTAAGTACATGCACATATTTACATGTGTATAGGTTGTAGTTTATATGTGGAAAAAAACTCTTGCCTTGAACATAGGATACAATCAGATAATATATGTAAAAGGGCCCTATTTGTTATTAACTGTAAATAATTGCTGTAATTATAGAAGTAGTTCTATTTGGAAATGACCACAAGTATTGTCTATCTTGTTAATTCATTACTAAGTGTCATAGTTACTAGGTAAAAAGCAACAAAACCCAATCACTGTGGAATCATTTCCAACTCATGGCGACCCCATGGGTGTCAGAGTGGAACTGTGCTCCATAAAGTTTTCAATGGCTGATTTTTAAGATCACCAGGGGTTCTTGCAAGGTACCACTGGTTGGACATGAACCACCAACCCTTCAATCAGCAGCTAGGTATATCAACTCTTCATACTACCCAGGGACTCCAAATACTATTGTTGTGTGCTGTCAAATCAATTCTGACTCATAGTGACCCCATAGGACAGAGTAGAACTGCTCCATAGGGTTTCCTAGGCTGTAATCTTTACAGGAGCAGATTGCCAAGTCTTTCTCCTGGAGAGCCACTGGGTGGGTTGGAACCACCAACTTTTCAGCTTAACCATTGTACCATCAGGACTTCTTATTTCAATTACTAGGTACCCCCCAGAACCCCAAAACCCACTGCTGTCCAGTCAAATTTAAACTCATAATGTCTCTATAGGACAGAGTAGAACTGCTCCATAGAGTTTCCAAGGCTGTAAATCTTTATGGAGGCAGACTACCCTATCTTTCCTCTGCAGAATGGCTGGTGAGCTCTGTTGACTTTTTGGTTAGTAGTCAAGCACTTAACCACTGCACCACTGGTACTATTTGTTAAATACGAACCTTCGTGGTGCAATGGTTGTTGTTGTTAGGTGCCATTGAGTCAGCTTCAACTCATAGCAACCCTACATGCAACAGAATGAAACACTGCCCCAGCCTCACAATCTTGCCATACCTGAGCCCATCATTGCAGCCACTGTGTCAATCCATCTTGTTGAGGGCCCTCCCCTTCTTTGCTGACCCTCCACTTTACCAAGCATGATATCCTTCTCCAGGGAATGGCCCCTTCTGACAACATGACCAAAGTAGGTGAGATGAAGTCTGGCCATTCTCACTTCCAAGGAACATTCTGGCTGCACTTCCTTGAGGACAGATTTGTTTGTTCTTTTGGCAGTCCATGTACTTTCAGCATTTTTTGCCAACACCATAACTCAAAAGCATCAACTCTTCTTCAGTCTTCCTTGTTCATTGTCCAGCTCTCACATGCATATGAGGTGATAGAAAATACCATGGCTTGAGTTAGGTGCAACTTAGTCTTCAAGGAGACATCTTTGGTCTTCAGTATTTGAAAGAGGTCTTTTACAGCAGATTTTCCCAGTGCAATATGTTGTCTGATGTCTTGACTGCTGCTTCCACTGGTGTTGACAGAGCTCCTATTGTGGAACCAAGTAATATGAAATCTTTAACAACGTCAATCTTTTCTCCATTTATTATGGTGCTGCTTATTGGTCTGGCTGTTTTAGGATTTTCATTTTCTTTATGTTGAGATATAATCCATATTGCAGACTGAAGTTTTTAATCTTCATCAATAAGTGCTTCAAGTCATCTTCACTTTCAGCAAGCAAAGTTGTGTTCTCTGTATATCGCAGGTTGTTAATGGTTCTTCCTCCAATCCTGATGCCATATTCTTCCTCTACAGTCCACCTTCTTGGATTATTTGTTCAACATACAGATTGAATGCATATGGTGAAAGGATACAACCCTGACACACTTCCTTCTTGATTTTAAACCATGCAGTATTTCCTTGTTCTATTCGAACAACAGCCTCCTTGTCTGTGTACAGGTTCCTGATGAGCACAATCAAGTGTTCTGGAATTCCCATTCTTCTCAATGTTATCCATAATTTGTTATGATCCACACAGTCAAATGCTTTTGCATAGTCAATAAAACACAAGTAAACATCCTTCTGGTATTCTTTGCTTTCAGCTGAGATCCTTCTGACATCAGCAATGATATCCTTCATTCCACATCCTCTTCTGAATCCAGCTTGCATTTCTGGAAGATTTCTGTCAATATACTGCTGCAACCATTTTTTAATTATCTTCAGTAAGATTTTACTTGTGTGTGATGTTAATGATATTTTTTTATAATTTCCGTTGTTCGATAATTTCCACATTCTGTGGGATCATCTTTCTTTGGGTACAAATATCTCTTCCAGTCAGTTGGCCAGGTAGCTGTCTTCCAAATTTCTTGGCATAGATAAGTGAGTGCCTCCAGTACGGCATCCATTTGTTGAAACTTCTCATTGGGTATTCCGTCAATTCCTGGAATCTTGTTCTTTGCCAATTCCTTCAGTGCAGCTTCAACTTCTTGCTTCAGTATCATAGGTTCTTGATCACATGCTGCCTCCTGCAATGGATGATCATTGACCAATTCCTTTTGGTACATTGACTCTGTGTATTCCTTCCATCTTCTTTTGATGTTTGCAGCATCATTCAATATTTTCCCCATAGAATCTTTCAATATTGCAACTAAGGCTTGATTTTTTTCTTCAGTTCTTTCAGCTTGAGAAATGCCGACCATGTTCTTCCCTTTCGGTTTTCTAACTCCAGGTCTTTGCACATTTCATTATAATAATTGACTTTGTCTTCTTGAACTGCTCTTTGACATCTTCTATTCAGCTCTTTTATCTTGTCATTTCTTCCATTTGTTTTAGTTACTGTTCACTCAAGGGCAAGTTTCAGAGTCTCTTCTGACATTGATTTTGCTTTTTTCTTCCTTTCCTGTCTTTTTAATAACTTTTGCTTTCTTCATGGATGATGTTCTTGATGTCAACACACAATTCTTCTGGTCTTTGGTTATTGGTGTTCAATGCATCAAATCTATTCTTTAGCTGGTCTCTAAATTCGGGAGGGATATAAATCAAGGGCATATTTTGATTCCATGGACTTGTTTTAATTGTCTTCAACTTCAACTTGAACTTGCATATGAACAACTGATGGTCTGTTCCACAGTCAGTTCTTGGCTTTGCTTTGGCTGAAGACATTGAGCTTCTCCATTACCTCTTTCCACACATGTAGTCAATCTGATTCCTGTGTACTCCATCTGGCTAAGTCCACATGTATAGTCATCTTTGGTGTTGTTGAAAAAAGGTATTTGCAATGAAGAAGTCGTTGGTCATGCAAAATTCTATCATGCGGTCTCCAGCGTTATTTCTATCACCAAGGCCATATTTTCCAAATACCAGTGATTCTTCTTTGTTTCCAAAAAGGTGTTCAAACCCACCAGCAGCTCCGTAGGAGAAAAGACCTAGTAATCTGCTTTCATATAGATTTCAGCCTAGAAAGCCCTATGGGGCCGTTTTAATCTCTCCTATAGGGTCGCTAGGGAGCTCTGGTAGCATAGTGCCCAAGGCACTTGACTGCTAACCAGAAGGCTGGTGGTTCAAACCCACCAGCCACTCTTCGGAAGGAAGATGGGGCAATCTACTTCCGTAGTGATACTGCCTCGGAAACCCAAGGAGGGGTCACTATGAGTCAGATCTGACTCGGTGGCACATAACAACAACAACAACATAGTGTTGCTATAACACACAACAACAATATTTGTATTTGATAAATACTTATATTTGCCAAGGAACATGCTAAATGCTTTACCCACAATATCTAATTTAATCCTTATACTGACCCTGTTGTTGTTGTTGATTGCCGTTGAGTCGGCCCCGACTCATAGCGACCCCTCCTTGGGTTTCCGAGGCACTATCACTACGGAAGTAGGCTTGCCCAACCTTCCTTCCGAGGAGTGGCTGGTGGGTTTGAACCGCCAGCCTTCTGGTGAACAGTCAAGTGCCTTAGGCACTATGCTACCAGAGCTCCCTAGCGACCCTGTAAGGTAGGTATTATGTTGAATTTAGCTTTTTCATATTTTACACTTGAGAAAATTGATGCTTAGAAAAATCAACTACTTTGGTTAGCATCTCACAGCTAGTAAATAGGGCTATTCAAATACAGTCCTGACTCTAAAACCAGTGCCCTGCACATCTAATATACACTGCTGTTTGTTGATGAGTTGGAAAGAAAAGCAGTTGTCCTAGTCCTCTGCAGGCATGGGTTAAGCTGCCTGTAATGATGTAAGGATTAAAGGCCAGAGTGCTTGGTTCAGAATCTCCCTAAATGGTTCTCCTAATTTGAACAATAGCTACTACAGGGAAAATGTTGTGCTTTAGTGGAAAAGTATTTATTATCTCTATTATACCCTTCCAAATGATCTGACTCT